AAAAAAGCCAAAACATGTAAAATTGGTGAGAGTGGTGCAAAAGATATGCGAATATATGGCGATGTGATTAGTACCGACCATTTTTATTAGGCTCGTTCCACTGGTTTTTAGTAGGATGAGAGAAACGACTTTGCCATACAGGCCACTGATTCACACTTTTTAAAATTTGAAACTTTTTAAAATGAGATCTATTTACTTGTACTTATTTGGCTTATTTGCTTACAATCATCAATCGTACTTTACGATTTTTCTCTAAAAGATTTATTTCCTGGTTATTCATTATGATCTCCAAATACGAATACCCTCTGATCGGTTAAATATTATAGCAGTTTGGTCCCAAAAAGTTATTTCAGTCCGAGGATGGTACTTTTTCTCCAACCTTAAGAAAATTAATACTAATAAACTACAACAGTACAATACATACTCCTTTAGTATAAATTTTCTCTTAAAACTCCTTCAAATTCTGTTATTCCAGCTTATTATCTTATTCCTTTTGTTGTTAACTTTAAAGCAATTAAGTAACTTTCTCACTTATTTGCTTTTAACCCGTTTGCTTTTCATTGTTTTATTTTCCTTTTTCTGCTTCTTTGCTTTCAAATAAAGTAGATTTTCCAAAATAGATATTTTGATTCAGTGATTTCATCCAGAAGTGAATAGACAATTTAACGCATAACATGTAGTGGTAAAATGATAACTGGATTTAGAAATATTATTCGGAAGAGTTTTATTGATTATAGAATATAGACGTAAAAAGAATAGAAAGAATAATCAATTGATTTGATCGAGTGACCCTTTGACATTTCCTTCTATAAATTTAAAAAAAGCAGGGTGAAATTTTTCTGTGGCCCGGTTGTCGTTTATTTGGTACATACTTAGACGAATCTCAATCAAATTTTCTCGCATTTTTTGATGGAATTTGCATTTAATTGTTTAAAAAAAACCAATCTGGCAAAATTTCTCATGAGTTTACTTTAAAAAAATAAATACACGGAACAAGGGACTGATAAGAAGTAAAAAAAGGTGCAAAATAGAAATAGAACGAATTCGAGTTTCATTCGATAATCTCACGTGGAACATTAAGGCATAGGTAATAATAATTTAAATGTGAAAATGTAAGATCTACAGAATGGCGTATAAGATCACTTAGTGATAACGGTATGCGTACTCGGCAGATTTCTTTTTTTATGACAGATTATATTCATTCAGCGAACTTCTTCTTCTAATAGCTCTCACCATTAGGTTGGTTCCGCTGGCTACAAGCTGCTCGATCCGACGCCATCGCTAGTAGACATTCCTTTTTCCATCGCCTAAATCCATATATCGTTGGTCCTCTTGTTTGAAATCTTTTCTGACTGCGTCAGTCCAGGTCTTGACTGGCCCTCCCTTTTAATGCCACTACCCATTACAGGATTCAGCAAGTAGCGAAATATGCATCAACTCTTCTGATGGTCGACGATTAACGTGCCCTAACCAGCAAAAGTAGACTCTGTATTAACATTATTAATGCAAGTGGTATGAAGATTTATGCCATCATGTGATATTTTATCAGCTCGACGGACCGTTAGAAATGAGTGGTCAAAGGCTGATAGCTTCTTCTTAATATCTTCCACTCTCATTGGCCATGCAGCCATATAGCAAGATCGAGCGAAATGCATCTATATGGACGCGGATTTTCGTCTTTATGGTGATTTCGCGACAGTTCCATAAAGGTTTCATCAACCAGAAAAACACATTTCTAGCTGTCGTTTTTCGATCAGGGAAGAAGAAGAACCGAAACTGAAGCTCGAATCATCTCGAGGAATACGGCAATAATGAAAAATATGGAGGAACAGAAATGGCGTCAGCAATAATGCGCTTTGTTTTTCTTATAATATCAGCACTATTTCTGGATTAGACTCGCTCGGCCAGCTTTCTGAGCCAAAGGAGTTTTGCAAGGAAATCACTTGGCCAGAGATGTACAGGCGGATCGCCAGCAGCGCCTGGATTTGCCAAGCAAGTAGAGTCCCAGGATGAACACTTCGAAGTGGCAGCAACAGCTCACCGCCATTTTATCAATACTCTATTCCGCGCTAAATTTATTGTGCGCACCCTCAAAATGGTGCAAGCACCACTTCACCCTACGCCACCTAGAATTATGCACTATACACAGACGATTGACAATTTGGAATCCTGCAGCGCTTGACATTTGAAAAATTGGCTGTGGGCCATAATATTTTCTACGGGGTAGAAGATCAAATATCGAAATTTGGGTTCACGTAAATAAAGGACTTCAACAGATTGTGTGGGACAGTTTGGCGGACCGTTTCATTTATTCGCTCCCTTCGCTTCTTTTTTTGCGTGAAATTAATCTGGAAGATTATTTGTTTAGAACTAAAGTTTTATAAAAATCCATTACCCTTGAAAATCCATTAAATTTTCTATAAAAAATGAAATAAAATGTTCGTTGAATTTTTTTTCCAAAAAAATATCAAAAAGGAAAAATGAATTCATGAAACTTTTTAAAATGAATGTTATTAATTTTTATTTATTATTATTATTAACAAATAAGAAGCCTTATTCTTCTTAAAAACGAGCGGAATTGTCTTCTGAAGCAACAAGGCGACACTTCTGACGTCTCATTATGTCTTCTTAATAATTGCTTTTATTCGTAAGGACGAGCGGAATTGTCTTCTGAAGCAACAAGGCGACACTTCTGACGTCTCGTTATGTCTTCTTAATAATTGCTTTTATTCGTAAGGACGAGCGGAATTGTCTTCTGAAGCAACAAGGCGACACTTCTGACGTCTCATTATGTCTTCTTAATAATTGCTTTTATTCGTAAGGACGAGCGGAATTGTCTTCTGAAGCAACAAGGCGACACTTCTGACGTCTC